TAAGTCCTTACGTTATTTACATTTTTATTAAGATTAAGGCTCACTGATAAAATTAAATAACATAAATTTATTATATATTGATGGCACTTGCCTTGCCCAGATGTCTCTTGGTTTTTTAGGGTCATAATCTGAACTAGCCTTCCAGGTATTTTCAACTGAAAGAATTAGTAACTCAGTTCATCATTTGGCATATAAATATTTGAAGAGTCCAAATTGCCTACAGATGACGATTATAATTTTGACCTTATCAAAGATGAACAGTAAGTACCGGAAGGAGAGTTACAACTCCCCTCTTTCTCTTGCTCCTCTCTCTTCTCAAATGATTCTCTAGTCAGTGTTTGCTCTTTCAAGTCAATATTAGCATTAGGGCACCTAGGAAACAACTCTTTGGCCACTTGTACAAAGAGCATTCCCTCCTCCAGTTGAGAGCAAAGCTGGAAGAACATGAGTCATACACAGATAATATGTAGTACTGAGCATTATTAACATTCCAGGTTTAGGCCTGGCTTACTCGTTATATGTGACTATTTGTCAGGTGTAAAGGGAGTCATGCCACGGCCATGAGAGCTTACTACTGTGAAAAAGGCCTAGAGTGTATGTTGAAAATGCTAGGAAGATGTCACTGAACATGCATGAAATTTCCTGACTGCAATGGGAGCTCTCCTCTCCCACCCAAACAGCCACAAGGAATGTCAAGCTAGGGTTCTCTGGGGCAGGATCCCATTGGAAACACACACCTTTCATTCAAAGTTAAATGTAAAGAGAATAAAAATTAAGTCTGCAAGTGTAGTAAAATGGATAATCTCTGGCTTGACGAAACCGAAAATCCAGATCAGTGGATGACCAGGGGTCTCAAATTTGCTGCCCGCGGGCCAATTGCCGGGATGGGCAGAGCACGGGGGAGGGGCTCTGCAGCCTCACCCAGACTGGCCCCAGGTAAGTTGAGTTTGAGACCCCTGGTGGATGACATTACTCCAGTCATGGGCTGGGTTTAAACAATGTGACAAGCTACAGTGGTTTTGTTGTATGGTTGGTCTGTGGTGTTGGCCAAATCCTGCTCTAGGGTTCTGACCATGCTAAGTTTGGTCTTTAGAAACCACAATAAAAAACTACTTTTTTTTCCCTTCAGTTCTGTTTGACCATTGCTTGTTGTGCTTTCCGAATCCAGGATCATGCAACTTCTGCATAATCCCGTGGAACGAGTGAAAACTGCCAGAACTGCTCCAGGCACTCAGTCTGTGTGGACTGATAAGGATGGTGTAGTGGTTAAGTGCATGGGTCTGGGACTCAGGCAATCTAGATTCCAGCCCCTGCTCAGCCATGGAGTGAACTGGGCGACTCTGGGCCAGTCACAGACTCTCAGCTTGATCTACTTCACAGGGCTGTTGTTGTGGGGATGAGATTGATGTAAGCCACTTTGAGTTCATTGCAAGAAAAAAGGTGGGATATAAATCTAATCAACAAGCTGGTTTCTCAGATAAACTACAAACTATGGTAACCACACAGAATTGCTTGTTGTGTTGTGTGAACTCAGCCCTGGTCTCACATGGTGACCTACCTCACAAGGTTGGTGTGAGGGGGATATAGATACAATTGAAGTATATTATATATTATTAATTGTTATAATATGTGAATTAAGTGGTGGTACTATTGGTCTCTGGGGTGGTGGGGGCACTTTTTTACTTTTTAATTATTGTGTTTTTGTTATGTTATGTTATATTATTACTGCTGTAATATGTTGTATTTATTTTTTTCTGTTTTAAAAAAATAAAAAAGGGAAAAAAAACCAAGGTTGGTGTGAGGTTAATATGAGATATTCCAGATTTCCTGCACTTGAAGTCTGCCACTTGTGCCAGCCTGCAACTCCAATTTTTGCAATCAGTATGGGATTTAGGGAATATAATTCAGCATGTCTGGAGGGCAACAGGCTGGAGAAGGCTGGAGTAACCAGTATACATTGCCAATATAAGTAAATACACAAGCATAGTAGTATAGCTATCCATTTTGCCAGCTGGACACAATTGTAGCAGTCACAGGCACTTACCTGGGCATGTAGAGGATAGATCTGCTCAATTTTGGAAGAACAGAGATGCTGAAAAATGCAAGTTCCTTAAAAAAAGTTAAATGGCAACTGCACTGAGCCCACACTCTTTTCCTGATAGCCCACATACCAAACTAGGGGAACTGCAATTCTGAGTTGGTGGGATAGTCCATTTGGAAGCATACACAGAAAGCAAACTGCATGGTACCTTTCCTTTTATTACCACTTGTCAGGGTTGGGGATGTGGGCAGCAGGCCACAAGACAGAGGCACCAGGACCAGGGCAACAGGACTTGGGGCAAGACAGAGTCCAAGTCCAAAAGTAAGGTTCAATAGCAAGCCCAAGTCATAGTACCAGAACAGGCCAGGGGCAGGGACTAGAAGTATTTATTAGGGCAGGACAAGGATGTGGTTCTGAGTGAGCTAAGGGTTGAGAAGCTGGAAGATGAACAGATCTGCAAGAATCTTAAGGCAGGTTTATGGGACAGGAAACATGGCAAGGCAATATACATGGCACAGGTCAGGCAAGATGCAAGAGATGAACCATAGCCAGCAGGAAGACCTGTATTGCTGAGGCAACCCAGCAAGAAAGAATACGCAGCACAAGTCCAGTAGCAGCAAGGGTCAGGAAGTTGTAGATGAACTACAGCTAGCAGGAAGACTTGCACTGCTGAGGTGAGACAGTAAGGCAGGATCTGGGTCAGGCAAGTTGTAGGCACTATAGTAAACTGGAAGACCTGTGAAGATGAGGCCATCTCAGGGGAGAAGAGCTTGTTCTTAAAAGTTTGTCCCCAAAGGTTCTCAGTTAGCACTCATCAGGAAGGTAAAAGCTCAAGCAGGGCCTGGGCCCCAAGCTGCAAATACTGAGGTGGGTGTTCTGATATTGATCATCAGTGAAACCCCAGAGCTGCCCAGATCCTGACACTGTTTTTATGAAAGGGCACAACTTAAATCCCTTTCTCTCCAATTATAAACAGTCAGCAGGGTGAGGAAACACCTCAGCTGTTCGGTGGATTTAGATTTGTCATTTTGCCAGTAGGATACTGCTTGTCAAGCAGGACTCTAAATCCGCTGTAGAGGGTTGGAGGATCTAGACAGTGCACAGGGAGGACTGAGAGGATGTGGAAGTCATGTTGCACAAATAATATCTTTCCTCTGGTTCAACAACCAATCCCTGAACATTGGACAGCTGCTGCCAGTCAGTTCAGACCACAAAGGAGTTCATGAGCTATTCTAGCTCAGTTTATAAAGACAGTCTACTTGTGATCTCCTTTCTGTATTTTAGCATGCACGGCAGCTCAAGTGTACCTACCTATTTGATCAACCCTTTCCCCATACAGTAATTATCTCTGCCACATCTGCTGAAAACTGGATGGCTCTCTTGCCTTGCTACAACTAAGCCTAGATGTGTGTGTGTATCTCTCTCATATTTCATACTTCAAACTGGGCAAAAGACAAGTCCCCTCATCAACAGAAACTGGCCAACCAGAACAACTATATTGACCCAAGGAATGAGGCAGAGCTCTCCAAAAATGGGCTGAAATCATACCATCCTGGTAATGGTGTAGCAGCACCATTCCATTACCTTCTTCTTGAAATATGGCAGGGATAGAACTAGAATCTATTACATCCTCCCTTTGGACTGGGGAACTTAGCTCAGGGATCAGGCTCTGCAACAAGGAACATCCAGACAAAACAGTGCTGGCTACTGTACAAAGAAACGTTTGGAGAATGGCTATGGGCTGCAATGTTGCTAAATGTAGCAATACCTTCTTAAACACTGCCTTTGAGGGAGCTGAAATTTGGTGGCTGGATCAGCTGGACAAAGTAGACATTAGCCCAGCATTTCTCATCTGAAGTTATTCCACTTCCTGCTCTGTTTCTTCTACCCTGTTTATCCCCACTCTGAATATAACATTTTAAAGTATATTAATCCAGTAACCATTCTATAAAGTTTGCAGAAGATAAGAAGCAAGGTTGTGAAAGATGATTGAAATATCCATTAGATAAAACAAATAACCTTCACGGTTTTGCTGCGCGGATAAAATGGAGATGGTAGGGAGGAAAGAGAACTATGCACATCAACTTAAGCTCTTTGGAGGAAAGGCAGGATATAAAAACAGAAGCTTTTAGCCTTTGTCTTGGGGACTGTAGTGATGTGGATACTCTGAGGGAAAAGAAAGCCCAGCTTCAGTATGACTGGTTATGAATTCCCTGCTTCCTTTGCTACAGGTAGACTGTGGATTGGCCTTTAAGGAATGAACCACTTCTAGTGCCGTTGTCAGTATGTGAATACTAGTACATGAACATTGTATAGGCAAAAGTTGTTTTCAAACTGGCAGAACTTGTATTGCTTACCTGCATTCCATCCTAAAACTACGGCAGGTGACTGTTCTATGAAGGCCACAGTCTGCCCAGTACTGGTGTCATCCCTATCCTTCATTCATTAACAGTCAGCATTCCCACCCCACCCACATTTTCAAACCACACCTAACATGTAAGCCACCACTCCCTGACACTTCATATCAGTACATCAGAAGGTCCCCTCACTCCTGCTGCACCATGTTACCTAAGAATGACCAAGAGAAATGCATAGCATCAGACTAAGTTTGGGCAGAAGATAGATTTTTTTCACTCGTGCCTGGGCTTCCTGGCTTTTGATGTCAGTGAGATCATTTTGCAACTATGTCAATATCTGATGCATGAAAAAGCTGGATCAATCTCCTGGAACAACAAAGCATAACAGACCAGCACTTTGAATTACCAGCATGGCAACTGTGTGTAAATATATCTATTTGCAATAATGAGGCTATTTGCAGTAATGAAAAATATGCTTATTAATAATATAATAGTAATAATAGACCCAAACAGGTTGGAAAAATGAGAGCTGCAGAGATGTAGTAACCCCACACACACATGGTGTAGCTAGATACTACAACAACTAGTTAACAACACTTAACTTGCTTGTATATGTTTTATTGAGTGTATAATTGTGGACCTGAGGTCTTAAGTCTGCAACTTTCACATACATGTGTGGAAGCATTTGCCACTGCCATCCTTGAGCTATATATTTTGCACACACATGCCCCTCCAAACTGGTTTTCTAACAAGATGTTGGCAGACCTACATGATCTTTTGATGGACTGTACCCCATCAGGCTACATGTAAGGGAATCAAATGCTGCCTTGTGAACTTTAATAGTCACTACAACAACCCTTCCCCTGTATTCAAGTTCAACGTGTATGGAAGAAGGTCAAATTCTGAATAGTTCTGTAGTGAGTTTCAAAACAGAGAGTTCTGGATTTTCACAATTAAGAAACAGCTCAAGGAAGTAACAATGGCAAACAAAGGCAAAATGAGACAAATCTAAGGAGGGCTAATTATCAGTGTAATAATTCTTCCATTTTCTACTATGAAATGCAGAGACACAGTAAAGCTCTATCCACCCCAATTGTTTAATGATATGTGAGTGAAATCTTTCATCATTTCTTTTACCAGAAATCTGAAGAGGTTCAATTCAGCGACTGACAGTTGCTGCTATTGACTCAACATACAGTTGTCAAATTTGGCAGTGAGCTTTTATTTTGACTTAACTGATCTAAGTCTGATGAAGGTTCTGTAACCCCTAAATGGGAGACATGTATTTGTCTTATTTGCATGTTTGGGGTCAATCAGTCATTTTTACCTTGATCTCATTTTGAAACCCCTTGAAATACCATTCCTTGCTACCTGGACTTGCTTGATAAATGCAAAAACCGAATTCTCTGATTGAGACAAGGTCAGGAAATTTTAGTGGTTATTGGGCCAGCAGCACTTACACCATTTTACTCGAGCATAAGACAGTAAAGAGCTAGATATGCTCTTATGGTAGATCCAGTGATTACTTGATCATAAAAGCAAAGCTTTAAGCAGTTAACTCTGGTCCACACTTATCCAGACAGCAATGTGGGTTGATTCAGGCAAAACCCACATGCTGCCTTGGTAGCTAGAAAACCATTTGATTGCACAGGTTGTTCCCATAGCAGCACCTGCAGTGCAACATGGAAACATATAACTGTTCTATGAACCGCCCATAGGATCTGGCTGAAGCACATGAATAGTGCTCATGCACATAATTTTTTGAGTGCTGCCACATCTCGTGTGATGCGCTGACAGACCCAGAACCACCTTGGCACTGGATCAGTTGGAAATAAGTTTTGATAGCAATAAAATTATGCACAGAGAAGGTCTTCTTCCAAGAACATCTTCTGGTCTCTTAGGCAGAACTTATCACCTGTTCTTTGCAAATTGTGATGGTATAAGGAATCTGGCCAGAGTCCTGGCTAAATGTCACCTCATTTTTCCCTGACTTTCTATACTTCTAAACAACCCAAGCATGTATTTCTTGACCCTCCTTGCTTCTCCTAAGCACAAAGAGAACACATTCAGCAATCTATCTCTTAAAAGACTGGCAGTCATGTTCCTACCTCTACCTCAACTACCTCAGCCACTGTGCTAAAACCAACACCTTCCTGAATAATGAACATGTCATTGGAGGAGCCCTGCTCCTGCACAATGATACATTCTTCCTCAGCATCCGAGAGAGCAATTTCAATGACATCCTTGCATCGAGAAGAGCTCTGTTGTGAAGCAACGTAGTGTCCATTACTGGTGATGAGGAGATCCGTTTTGTTGTCAGGGGACTGCACATTCACAGAGCGCATCACTAGCACTGCAGGCTGCTCTGAAGCTAGCAGCTCCTGGGGGTGTTTTGCTCCTGGTTTGGACGGATCCCTGTCTAGCTTTCCTTTGTGTTCAAGCTGGTGGCGTTGGAGGCTCTGGGGAAGGGCATAGCCCATCCCACATATGGTGCACTGGTGAGGTTTATCACCATGGTGGGCTTTTTGGTGGCGCCGCAGCTTAGTGGCTAGAGGGTAAGATTTCGGGCACAAATGGCAGTGAAATGGCCGCTCCCCTGTGTGCAGACGCTCATGAGCCCGTAATGTGTGGGGGTCACGCAGGGCTTTCCCACAAACTGTGCACAGATGAGCCTCACCTGTGTGGGAGATCAGGTGGCGACGCAGCTCTGGACGCTGTGGGAAGGCATCCCCACAGAAGTGGCAGCGGTAAGGGCGTTCCCCTGTATGCAGTCGAAGATGTCCACGCAGATTGCCTTGCTGGCGGAAAGTCTTGGGACAGTAGGAGCAAGTGTAGGGACGTTCCCCAGTGTGCAACCGCATATGGTTGCGCAGTGACCCAGGGTTAGCCAGATGCCGGCCGCAGATCACACACTGGCAGGCAGCTGTGGCAGAAGGGCTGGGCTCCTTGGCCTGGTGTGTTTTGCGATGAATACGAAGAGAGGGACGGCGGGCAAAGGATTTCCCACAATCTGGGCAAGCAAAAGGGCGCTGGCCTGTGTGCAGCACCTGGTGTTCTTGAAGGTCACGTTTGGTGCCATAAGTCTTGTGGCACTGGGGGCAGGGGAAGGGCCGCACCCCTCTGTGGCCCAGTATGTGTGCTTTGAAGCTTTCTTCTGAGCTATAGCTCTTTCCACATTCTGTGCATAGGAAGGGCTTGTGATCTGTGTGGACAAAGCGATGCTTCTTCAGGTGGCAAAGCTGCAGGAAGGCTTTGCCACACTCCTCACATTGGTATCGTCGCTCACTTCCTGATTCCCTTTGCTGTGGAGTGCCACTCGTGTGGCTATGAGGCTGTTTCTCTGGCTTGGGTTTGTCCCATTGCTTCTCCACCCTGTCCCTGGTTGCAAAGGTGCCATGTTCCCTGGGAGTTTTATCAACACCAGACTGCACCTTCAGCACTTGTACCTTGTCAGCCAAATGAGCACTGAGGCAAACAGTACTGGCCTGGAGTGGCTGTGAACAAGTTTCAGTCAATTTTGCCTCCTCCACTGTTTTACTCACTTGCTCTGTCTGAGCATCTTCTTTGCCTCCATCATCCTTAACTATGGGGAGGCTCACAAGTGGCTGGGACTCTCTAGTTTGTGCTCTGACCTCCTTCAGGGACCAATCTGTATCCTTTTTCTTATGGCTGTTGCCTGATCCAAAGGACTGTTTGGTTGGCAGCTTCTTATTCAACATGGAAACACAGTGAGCTCTGGCTTTCTGCTCCCCAACCTTGGGAATACTAGGAACACCTGAAAAGATGAATTGGTAACTATTAGCTCCCTTAACAGGGCAGCAAAGTAATTATTGGAACATCAAAGTAAAACCTCTTGTTTCCATACAATGCTCCTCACCATCAAGAGGGAAGAAATCTGACTCAGTGCAGAGGCTCAAGAATGATGTCACCAAAGCAATGATTCTAAGAGTGGAAGGCTTCTGAAAGCTGATCTTAGGATTTTCTGTTTGAATTATTCTGAAGTTTTAGGATTATAGGAGGAATATTTCAGCATCTGTTACAAGGTTCTTTGTGAAAGCATTGTTTTGCGCATTCCAACATATATATGTATTCCTGGAATCCGTGATAGTTGCATTCTAACAATTGTTCGATGCAGGATGAATCTCTCCAAAGAGAGAAGGAACCATGATAGTTAGAATGATATAAAATCTGTACAAATCTATTATGCAGACATGCCCTCATATTTTTATCACACACATTATGAGCTGACTGTGATTCACTATGCATACTGAGATTGCATTGCTCAGTGATAAAAGAGAATAGCAAAGCACTGTCCATAAGAGTGGTGTTGGCCAGTGCTGTTGAACCACATACAGGCCAATCAATATAGAACTGGACTCAGAACATGAATGAGAGGAGAGATTCACTGTTTTCTACTACAGTACTATTTCAGGAAAAATCCAAGAGCCCCATCTCCAAAGTTTATAGAAACCAGACAGATTTTTGCTTGGATATTTCTATCAGTTTAACTTGTCCATAAATAGCAAAGAACTTATTTTATGAAAAGATGCTATCTACTCTAAATTCTCTTTTTGAAAGGAAGGACAAAACAATGTGTTTTTGCTACAGTAGCCTAAATTTAGATTGAACATCAACGTTTTACAACTATTTGCAGAGTCTGCAGCATCAGTGTTGGACTGGGATTGGGGAAAGTCCATTTCAAGCTTCTATGTGGTTTTGAAGCTTATAGGGTGACTTTGGGCCAGTTTCTGACTCTCACCCTAACCTATTTGATAGGGCTGTTGTGAGGGTAAACTGAGTAGGAGGATCATGAACACTGCCTTGGACTCTGGATATAAATGTAACACCACCACCACTACTTGCTTAAGGAACCCTCACATTTCCATTACCAGAAATTTGTGGAGTAATATTGATAAAAACACAAAATTGACTTCTAATTCTGTCAAAATGATTACTTTCTTTCTAGTGCTCTAGGTACAGTACCTGCAAAGGGAGCTACTTCATTTCTGTCTAGGGAAGCATCTTCTTGCTGCAGCGGTGCCTCTGCTTCTATGCTTGTGGTCTCAGTCATGGCCACCACTGGTGGTCCTTGTAGCCTTTTTTTCTTTGTGACAAGTACCCCATCTGATATTCTTGCTGGTGCTTTCTTTTCCAAGCAGGCAGGACTAGCTTGGGACTCTGCTAACCAGTACAGCAATTCAGTGCCAGCAGCAAGGAAACGACATACTTGGATGTGGAGCTCCCCATTGATCCATATGAATGAGACATTTGCTTCAGTTTCATCCTTGCTTTGCTTCACCAGACTGTAAAACACAACATGGCAAGGGGTCAGTAGCTGATTTGGGCTCAGTCAGGAGTCAAGTACTCTTTCAGGGGGAAGAGGAACCACATGAGTGCTCATGAGTGAAAGTCTAATCTAGCAACAAACAGGTCAGTAGTTACTAGCAGTATATCCAGTCCCTGGAAAACCCATTTCAGAAGACTTTTTCTGATGGTGTCTTATTAGGAACATACAAACCTGCCCTATGCTGAGTCAGAACTTTGAGCCATCTAATTAAGTCTTGCCTATACTGACTGGCAGCAGCAATTCAAGGTTTCAGACAGGGGTCCTTCCTAGAGGAATTGAACCTGGAATCTTATAAAAATGAAGCACGTAACATCTACTTTGTAATGCCCTTTCAGATATTGATAATCCCGGATATTAGTGAAGACAGACAGTCTTCAGGCATTGCTGATGAAGAAAGGTAGTCATCAAGGAAAAACAGATGTGTGTGTATATATTTTCCTGTAATATGTTTACAGAATCAAATAGGGCACAAAATAGCATGCTTTAAGTTAATAACCAATGCATTTGGATAATGCCCATCTCTTTGAAAAGTACTGATTTAGGGTACAAAATAGCCTTTGTTGTTTAAGGACATATGGAGGTATATTAATTAGCAAAAATAGCTTGTTCATAACTTTGTTGGCCAAATCTATCTGTCCAATGGCAAAATTATTTTTAGATTTATTATTCTATTTTTAAGAAGAGGGTAAAAACAGAGCTTTTCCAAGTGGGATGGGATTTTCTGCAGGCTGGCAATGTTCTGATTTTAGTTAAGAATATTTTTTATAAGCATATACCAATTTGTTTTTCTTCTGTGTCAATAAGTCTGGGTTGCTGTCTTTAAAGAAGTATGATCGACTCTGAAGTTCCTTTTCAGATGGAAGCAAGGAATCTAAATACTCTAATAAAAGATTAGAGACAATATCTGCTCATTTGAGGTCTGCCGTATTACAGAGCTGTTTCAATAGGACAACCAGAAGCATAAATTGTGCTCACATTTCAGCTCTCCCTTTTATGCAGTGAGAGGTACAACTGTGTGTTACTATACACAAATCGTCATAAGGAGAACTTAACCATCCTTAGAAAGGAGGTTCATGTTTCAAATTCACATTCTTATCCAAAAAAGCCAAATTTTACAATTGCTTATCTTGCACAACTGTATTGCACTTCTGTAATAATATACAGAAGCACAGCAGCATAAACACAGCATTGGTGCAGACAGGGAATACCACTGAAGGGAAGTAAAGAAAGCAGGAAGCTATAACAAGAACCAAAGCTTAGTTTTCTCACCACACCCCGGCCCCCGTCATTTCTCTTAATATTCAGGAAGGCAAGAAACTTGTTTTTAAAAGTAAAGCTGAAGCTCTCCGAATGCTAATTCAATGGCAAGAACTTGATGCCCTGCTTTCACACAACAGCTTTGTTTTGTAGTGATGCCTTCTTGTCCTAAGCCAGAAAACATAACACCTATTTATTGCATGGCTTCAAATATGTAGCCAGTAAAGGGATGTTGAAGGAAATGTGAGTTACAAGACTAACCAAATTGCTTTTCATGAAAGATAGAGAAATTAGAAACTTGTTACTTCTCTTTATCAACAAGCAATTTTTCCCTAACGTGTGGTCAAGGGCCTGTATAGTCTAGCAGTTACAGTGTTAGATTGGCACCTAGGAGATCCAGGTTTTACTTCCTCCTCAGCAAGGAAGCCCACTGGCTGACCTTGGGCCTGTCACGGACTTTACCTAACTTACATCAGAGGATGGTTGTTATGAGTTTAAATGGAGAGATGCTTATAAGGCATTTTGCGCTTCTTGTATACAATAATTACAATAATGTAAAAGCAAGCATGAGTGGAAGCAAGTAGATGAATGGAATGGAGGAATCCTTCTAAGGGATTCTTGATAATGACCACAGCTGCACAGCATGAGATTTGGTTTCCTGCTTAGCATTCCAACCTGGTGGCCTCCAGAGACATTTGGACTGCAACTCCCCGAATTCCCATTCAGCAGGGCCATTCACTGGGAATTCTGCGTGTTGCAGACCAAAGTTTTTTGAGGGTGAGAATTTCTGTCCTTTATTTTACTGAGAAATACTTAAAATTATTATACTATGATTATTACAACATTACATTTCTATACTGCCTGTAGCTGAAGCTCTCTAGGAGGTTCAAAACATTTAAATCACCCATCCAGAATTCAACCAGACCTGACCCTACTTAGCCTCCAAAATTAGGCAGGATCTGGCACGTCACACTATATGGAAGTTATATATGAAAATGGTAAATGAAACATCCCCTAAAGGCATTGAAATGAGAGGTGTTCTTGCTATTGACTCCAGCAGACAGGCTGAGAGATGTGTTCCATTCTTCCCAGCTTCCTGCCTTCTCTGTAGATCCCCATGGCAACTACTTATACCTAAAGTTGTTCTATGAGTCCCATTATTTTTTCTTCTTTATGGCATTATTTTGTGACATTAATTTGGCAAATTCACTTCTCCCCTGAAAGGCAAAGCAATCCTATCGCTCCTCAAAGAGCATATCAGGAACTGCAGAATATTGCAGACTTCTCCTGTCAAGGCTACAGACACTTCGATGACTCTCGGGAAGGGGGATCTGAAGGCAGATTTTCGCTTTTCACTGCTTGCAGCTGCCATAGTAAGTTCCCCATGACTACTTTTCTGAGATTGCTTTACAAACTTGGAACAGAACCTTTCTCCAACTGGGTGGCCTTCAGAGGCATTTGGACTGCAACTCCCAGGATTTCCATCCAGCAGGGCCATTGACTGGGAATTCTGGGTGTTGCAGTCCAAATGTGTCTGGAAGGCACAGGGTTGGAGAAGGCTGCTCTATAACATTCTTTCCCCAAAATTTCATCCTAGTTGTTTTCCTTTGTACTTGCCTTGCATTTGCTTCTCCGTAGCATCAGGAAAATGTTGCAGGGTGAGAGGAAAAACTCCACAGAGGAGCTGATCAGCAAAAAATTACGGAAAGGTAGCTGTCACTAAAGCATTTAGTGCAATGCAGTGCAGTGCAATTGTTTACTGAGCAAAAAGACCCCATTTATCAATGGCCATAATATTAAAAGTTTTTTATAAACATAAAAGTCTAAAACATAAAAGTTCCATGCTACTGCCAGTTGTTATTTGGTCATTATAAAACACAGACAACTATTGAAATGGTCAGAGATCTTCTCCCACCTTAAGACAGAGTAGTAAGAAAAAAAATGCTGGATAGCAGTAGATTTAGATTACTTAGTGAACAGACAGTCCGAGCCATGCAATGGAGTGTCATCTGATTGCTCTGTCCAAATTCCGTTTTTCATATGAAAAGAAAGTAACCCACATCACTGTTCGCTGAAACCTGACCTGTTCAAATGAAGAAACAATTAGATGATCACTGTATTACAGAACTTGTGATAAAGACTGAGATTGCTTTGTAGTCCAGTTTCATTTTCAATAGAAATGGCCGTATGTTCCTGAAGCAAAAAATAAAAAAAATGTTGTGATAGGATAAATACTAAGGTCTAATATGCAAGGATTATTTAATTTCAATAAAGTTTGGTGAGAAAACACCAACACAGCTTAAAAACAACCTCAATAACAGGTAGCATCAAGTGTCTAAGTGCGTTGTTATGGTTTGGGTGATTATAGCCAAAATCCACTTCATCAAGTATCAATTTGTCTGAGAAGGCTGTAATGAAGACTCCAAGTTAGCCATAAGTTCTTGCTGTTCTTACCTCCTCCAGCTGGGTATTCTGTCACAAACACAAGGCTCTTTCCCCCAGGATGATGGAAATGTCTGAAATAGAGATCAAGTAGAATCTCAGTCAGAGAGGTTGTATAGTTGCCATGGCCAGATATTTATTTATTTATTAATTAAAACAATATTATGCCAAGAACTTCTGAAAAAGCTGCCTCTTTCATCTGAGGATCAATTTATTATTGCTATCATCATCATCATCATTTATTTCATTGCTATACCACCTGCAGCCAAAGCACTCTGGGTGGTTTACACAATTAAGCATATGAAAAGTGAGGGTGGGGTGGTTGAAGTTCATATGCTGTTGGTAAGGGGTGCAAACTTCTTTTAGGGCAAGGGCAGAATTCAGTTTCAGAGAACCTGGGAGACTACCATTCCAATGGTAGGTGAGGCTAAAGACAAAGGGACAGAGCCAAAGTGGGTGGGGCCAAAATCCAAAATGTAAGCATATTGTACCTTAACGCCCTCATTTCTGGCAACTATGTCTTCAACCTTTTAGAATCATTTACAATAAAGACCAAAAAACTTGGGAAACAAACTCTGCTTTCCTGATGGATTAACACAGCCTTCCTTCAACCTGAAGCCCTCTGGATATGCTGGACTGCAACGCTTAACATTCTCAGTTTATATGTACTAGTTGGGAATGATGGGCATTGCAGACTAACATCTGCAGACTAACATCTGGAGGGCAGCAGCTTTAAGCTGGGCTGCCATGGCAACTTCCATCTGTCAGAATCCTCTTTTTTCAGTGGAGAAGAATCAGGTGTCTAGGCTTGCACTTCCACGTAATCGACCCATGAGGAACAGAAGGAAAGGGAACGAGCGTGCCCACACCAGGTTCAGGGTTTTGCAGGTTAGAGTCACCTAACTTCGCTTGTTGCTCACCACCGAGGTAGCGGCTTCCTTTTCCTCCTCTTCCCGCGGCCCAATCAGGCGCAGCCGCATCCCTGGCTGCAGGGCGCGCCCAACACACCACACTCCCAGTCCACTCTCAGCATAGTGGGAAGGGCCCAGGGCCAGGCCCGACGGGAGGCGCCACGCAGGGCAGCGGAACCAACCGCCGTGCACGTCCGGAGGCCAACCTGCATGGGGAGAAAACCAAAGGACAATCAAAGCAGTCGAGGAGAAGAACCGCCGCCAGCTCACCCCAGACCTCTATGGGCTCCCTCACTCTGACTGGGGGTCGGCTCCATAACGGCCGCCGCTGATGGAGGCAGCGGAACGTTCCGCTTCGCGAGCTTCAATTGCGCCCGAACGGCTTTTCCATTCCCTCACTGGACGTCAAAAGGAGGCGGGGAAGTGTTCCCACGGCAACCAATCCTTTTTTCCGGTTCAGAGACGGGTGTTTGCAAAAGGCGGGAGTGGCCGAGGATATGTTTCGGGTATCGACATTGCTGTAGCTTCGTATTGCGTGCGCGTTAACGACGTTAGAAGCGAGATAGCGTTTCCCTCATGAGCTAAAAGACCTAGGTAAGAAACTCACACCCAGGTTTGACCGAGCGGCGCTCTCCGTCGGCGAGTGTCACTCTGAGGGGAGGAGCTTTTTCTCGGGCGGGGTGTTTTTGTTTTTCGTGAAAGGGGGGCAAGGGTCAGAGCTCGGTAGAGCGCATGCGCCGGATAGGTTCAGCGTGGCTTTCTATTGGGTCGGGGTTGGTTGGAGGGTCTCGCGCTAAGCAGGAACTGCTGCCTGGAAGGGCTGAAAGGCGCTGGGCTCTTGAGCTGGGAGAGTGTTTCTCTCGTACCGCTGTATCCGTGGATGTTACTGAACTCCGGGTTGCCAGGTGCAGACCCCTTTTTGGTTTCGGGCGATCCCCCCGCAACTCCTTCATCCGGCCCCCGTGTGCTACATTGTTCAGAAGGACCTCCGGCTTTCGGAGAGGCTTTCCGCGGGTGGGGGAAGTGGCTGTAGGGAAGAAGGGGATTGTGAAGCTTACCTTCTCCGAACTTTATTTAGGCTTTCAAGAAAACAAAGTCAAGTCTCGTCGGCCGTAAGAAAAATTCTATGATTTATATAGTATAATACCTTTATTAAGAATTTCGAGGAATTGTTTCTTTATTCCGATTCAAATCTAGCAACAAACAAACGCGGGGCTTCGAGATTTGCAGATTTCTAAATCAGGCACCCTGTTAGAAAAAGTAAAGAGCTCTGCAGATTTGAAAAGCATGCACATATTTTGGTTAACCTTTTTAGTAGACCTAATAAAAAAATTAGCACTGTTTAGGTTTTGGTTGCAGTCATTTACACGTTTACCTGGCGTTTACTTCTTAGAGCACATGCATAGGATTGTGCTGTGTATTAACTTACTTTCTCAACCCTTGTCTTTAAAGCAGCAATCCTGTGCATACTCACTTTCTCGCTGGAGAAAGTGGTTCTTACTTCCAAATAAGCAGGCATAGGGTTGCATGTGTTGCTCTGAAAGGAAATTGTGTGTGATACAGTTTTTCCTTCTACAATGTTGTAGTGAGAGGAGTAGCTTCAATAATTTCCCCTATTTATTAAGTTACAAAGGTAGCGTAGTTTTCAAAAATGTTGAATTTGCTGTGACACTTCCTGACTGGCTGCATAGGCTGAGACAGTAAAAAAAGTTCAGTAGGCTTAGAAGAGTCAGGTTTAAATTCTGGCAGGAAAGTTGTGTGTTTTCAGGCCTATCACCTGATTTAGTTCCAGGCATTCTACTCTTTGTAGCATGTAGTGAGTAGATCCTGTTTTACTTAAGCTGACAACTTGGAAAAGGAGAGTTGAGGAATGGGCCACCTTAGGTTACTTCTGCTTTTTGCAGCTGTACCATGCCACTAACCAGAGAACCATAATGACCGTGTTTCTGCACAACAGCTGTGTAATACTGTGTGAAGAAAGAATTCAATGCATTTGGCAATTACTACAATTGTTAGAGGCTCAAACAACTGTTTTACTAAATATTTTTATTTAGTATTGTAGATGATGTGCATGATGTAGAGGTGTATTTATTTCATGAGCTAATGGCACTTATCTTACCAACTGTAAAAAAATACAATTAATTGAAACATTCCCTCAATCCAGTTAATTTTCAGAGGATCTCTTTTCCAGGGATTTTCTTAGAGTGAGGCAGTCTGGTGGAAGGCATTTTAAACACTATCTGTGAAATAGTTTTTTTAAAGATACTTGGTAGTGTTACTAACATTGAAATAGAAAGAAATTAGTAATTCAATATTTTCAGCAGAAATTTGCAACCAACTTTTGAAGTTTTGTGATTGGTCTTATACTCAGTATTCTGTGATTTTTTACTTTATTATTATATAGACATGAATTAGTTTCGAATGAAAAGTGGCATATAAATATAAACACATAACGTATTTTTATTGTTGTATTATTTATGTTATGTCTTAATGCAGATGAAAGCAGAATCTCTAGACTGTAGATCTCTTGATGCTTGGATTTCAAATTCCAACATTCTTGGCAATTTATTTAATGCATATATAGGTTATTGGACTCACTTATAGTGCAATCTATGGATGTCTATGCATAAGTAACTGCAATTCAATTCAGTGGAACTTACTTTTGGGTAAAAGTGCAAAGTGGGGCTATCAGCCTTTTGAGACCATTGGTCACATTTGGGAATGTAAGAAACTGCTGTGGACGTGGAGCTCCCACAGAGGATGTGGCTGGTTCATACTGGCTGCCATGGAAGCCTGACTAGTCAAAGGACTTCAGCGAAGAAACTGAGTACAGGAAGAGACAGCATCCTGCAAAAGACTGTATTCTGACAATATAACATTTTTTGACTCTACAAAAGCATAAAAATACCTATTTCAGGTTGCAATCTTATGCATATTTACAAGGAACATAATGAGAATTACTTCTGAGTAGACCAAGATAGGATTGCACTGTTCATCCTATTCATAGTCACCTTTTTCCAGGCCCATAGAAAGGTAAAAGGAAGGAAAAATTTTATACCTTTACTCCGGGTTTAGCATTCTCCCTTCCTGCCTCCCCATGCATGCACTTGTGTAGAATGAGAAAAAGGGCTGAGAAGGGAGAGATTAAAAAGCAGGGCTCCTAGCTGGGAGAAGAAAGAAGCCGGATGTGGACAAGATTAAGGAATGGTATTGGGGGCAGGGGGGAGAGCAAGGGAAAGGGATTGTGGAAGAGAAATAGCAAGGCTAAAGGCTAAGTAGTGGGGGCTGGAAATATCAGAGAAATATCTGTGCAGAGGATAATTGGGCAGGCTGGGTGGGCTCTTCTTTTCCCACCAAACATCTGATCAGTACCACCCTGAGAAAGAGGAGGGAGAACATGGTGTCCTTTAAAAAAAAGTTTAATTAAACTACAGTTTTGAAATGAGGGCAAGGAATGGAAAGCTTTGTGAAGGTTAATGTGCCTGAGGGCTTTTTACTGAGCACTACTGAATGGTACTGCAGTCCTGAAAGAGTGTTAAAATATACACCCTTTCAGCATTTCTTTATATTTTGCAGAAATATAATTATGAACACTGGTAGCATGTTGCAGCAATTGATATTTAAGATAATTCATCTCTTCCTTTGAATTAATTCTAGTTACAGAATTTCTGATGGTCCATTTTAAATCAGGAGTAGTCTGAAGTGTGATATTTAAAGCACTACTGTTTTAGGGAGGTAGTGGTGCAGAGATAGATTCATTTTGATTTTAAGTATTTAAACAAATACTGTTGCTTTTGTAAACAAAAGTAATTATATGTTTTAAACCAAATTAGAAGCAAAGCAAAGATTAGAAAAGGATCTTCTATCAAGAATGCAACCTTTCCACATCCTGCATAATTTGAAATACCCCTATCATGTCTTTCACTGCTTGCCTTTTTTTGTGCTAAACAGACCCAATTGTTGTAGCCACTCTTCATAAGGGAGTTGCCCTTCTCTGTACTTTTTCCAACTCAGTAGAGTACTTTTTCAGGTAAGCCAACCAGAACTGTATACAATTTTCTAAGTATAGGTGCACCAGGGATTTGTATAAGGGGAGTATCATTTTGGCAGTTCTGTTTTCAGTTCCATCACTAATTATGCCTAACATGGCTTTTTCACAGCTGTGCACTGAGTCAACATTTTTATTGAGCTGTCCACCCTACTCCCTCCCCCAAGATCCCTTTCTTGCTCAGTCACTGCTAGCTCAAATCCCATCAGTCCATACTTGAAGTTGGGAATCTTTTTGCATTACTTGACACTTGATTACACTGAAGTACAACTGCCATTTTGATGCCCATTCTTCTAGCTTAGGGAGATCCCTTTGATTTTAACCATTCCAGATAGTTTGGTATCATCAGCAAACGTGGCCACTTTACTGCTTACTCCTAATTTCAGATCATTTATGAATAGGTTGAAAAATGTTGGTCTTAATACAGAACCTGTGAAACTACACTGGTGATGTCCCTTTGCCTGGAGAAATTGCCATGTATTCCCACTCTCTGTCTTCTGTTCTTTAACCAGTTACTGATCCATAAAAGGACTCCTGTTTTTTTTTTTTAAATTCAGAGCCACTAGTTTGATAGTCTCTGGGTGAGTTTATCTGAGTCTGCATCCACTTCTGCAAATAATCAGTGCAGTAGGTGTTGTTTGTGAAACAGGATCCATCATATCTCCTCTTTCCACACTAACCCCAACTCTTCCTGTGATTATTCCAGCTTTTTTCCATTTTTCCATTTCTTTTCCCTGAGATTGCTTTATGATCTCCAAAGTGACAAACAGTGACAGCTTCTTTAAAGTTTCCAAGTGACCCTTTGGCACAGGTATCAGAGGTTTGCCATCCTATTGAAATTAAAATTTAAAAATTGTATCCAAGTTTTGGGCAACTTAAACATTGTTGGATTTTCAGAATTGTGCAAGTGTGCAGCTCTGACTAGATTATTTTTGCTTCATCAATGCCCTGTGTGGTATCTTTGTCTAAGTAAAAGAGTCATAATTGAGAGCCATTGTAGTGTAGTGGTTAAGAACATGGGACTGGGACTAAGGCAGTCTAATCCCTGCTTGGTCATGAAGCCAGCTGGGTGACTTTGGGCCAGTCACAGACTCTCAGCTCAACTTACCTCACCAGGTTGTTGTTGTTGGGATACGATTGAGAAGAGAAGGAGAATCATGTAAGCTGCCTTGAGTTCCTTGAAAGGAAAAAAGGAAGAATATATATATTTAAAAATCAGTAACTGAAAAATCAGTAATTAATTGATTATTAATTAAGGGCCCAGATAGGTTGTGTTGTTGCTTTGTTCTTAGATAGTGAACTGTGAAATAAGACATGAAGCTACAAGGGCATTTTTGCTGGTGAAAGAGGCTGTTATGTAGATCACCCCTTCCTAGCAAGATTTTCTATTTTTAAAATTTTGTATGTTTTAGTATCCTTCATTTTTCCTCCATTTCCTGAGATTCTAGGTGCTTGGGAAAGTCGAAAGTGTAAGCCACCCCATTTATGGGAGAACAGAGTTTTTGTAGCTGTTGAAACTCAGGCTTTCTTTTAAAACAGGGTATACTTCGACATGAGACACTGTGCAGGCATTGATGAAGCAGGGCTGCATTTTAGACATTTGTGTCACTTTGACAAATTAAAAAAACACCAACAATGAAAATATTTGCTAAAAGATTTTTTTAAATGACAGACACTCCAGTGTACTGCTTGGCTGTCACTCTGGAGATCATGAAAAGTCATTTCTGAAAGAAAAGGTGGGTAAAAGGGAAAACAAACTGCAGTGACCTTATGGTTGGTGCAGGGGACAGTAATCCAGTGATGGCTGCACCAAAGTGTTGCTTTGGGCAGTTGGTGGAGTGCTTGTCTCTTGCTGGTGGCCACAGGGTTTGCCTCTTCTTGAGCAGCTTGGCCACCTCTTCTTTGTAGCTATGATAGAATCAATCATCTGGGGTCAGGTGATACAATAACCCATTGTAGGTACAAGAAGCCCTAGTGGCTTGGCAGGGTGGCTTGTTGCCCACAGAAAGCCACCCTGCAGGAAGCAGGCCAAGTTCAGTCTGCAAGCCAGCCCTGCATAATTTGCATGCTGGGTTGTACAAATTCAGTGTTCAAGTAACCATTTTGGACAAGAAGATTCTTTCTTCCTTGGCATGCTGAAGGTTTTTATTCTCTCACAGAAAGTACCAGTAGCATTTTGGCTTTATAGATTTGCAAATCTGAGGAAATTGTGTTTCTTAAGCACTGTAGGTGACTTAGTTGCCTTCAGTGAATTGACAATATTTAGAACTACTTGGTATAAGTAATTTGGGTCTTGCCAGGAGTTTATTTTTTAATGAATAATTTTAGATAATTGTAAGAATCCAGTGCAGGAATTAGAGTTGTTTCAAGGGGAGTGAATCACTGCAAATGCTGGTTAAGGTTTCCATAGAAACTGAGCATAATGCTAAAGTCAGATGGTTGGCTGCAATTTAAGCATGGTTACAGCATTACCTAATAATTTTGAGAAGCAGAATGTCCTGGTCTTTGCCCTTGCTGAGGTCAAGCATCTCTTCCATTATTTAAGAGAGGACTGAAGAGTAGCTAAAGTTTTTCCAGGCCCCAAATTCTTTTTTGATCTCTCTTGAAATTTGCCTTTCCACATTTTTCGTGTTTTGTCTGGTTACAGGAATGTGACTTGACTTGCTGCTCAATAAGCTATCATGAGAATAAAGACAATGAAAGACTATGTGTAAGCTTTAAGGGGATGTGAAGATGTCTTGCACAAATCACAGCTCCCTTCAATAGAGTATGGATGAGCACTCAGGGATTTAAAGAAATTTTGGTGAAATGTCTAATGATTCTCTTAATGAAGCCTGAATAACTTTCAATGACACCTTCCCTGCCATGTTTTTGTTGGTGCTGTCATGTTGTCTCCAACTTACGGCACCCCTATGAATGACTGTCCTCCAAAATGCCCTGTCCTTGACAGCCCTGCTTAGCTCTTGTAAACTCAAGACTGTGATTTCCTTTATGGCATCAATCCATCTAATGCTTAGATTAGATCCATCTAATGCTTAGTTCCTTATGGAACCGCTAATATCACTTTCTGGTATTAGCTGTAGCCTTGACTCCATCCACATTATTTTTCTGCCATATGTTATTTGAGGGTCGATGTTTTGTACTGTTTTCTGAAGGATTCTCTTTCTCTTCTAGTTTCATGATAGACTTGCATCCATGTCCTGCCTCCTGAGAAAATTAGCTTTTCTAGTGGCCTCAAATATTTGGTAATTTATTGACAACAATTGTGTATCTTTTGTTCGGCATGCATGTGATGAATATTATAGTGAATATCTAAAATGGAGAAACTGTTTCCAGTCTCAAGGGACTGCTGAAAGTTCCTCATTGTGATGCTGCCAAAACACTGGGCTCCTATTTTTTTCTTCCTTCAGATGCTAGAATCTTTTATTGCCTTTTCTGCTGTCCTGTTGTTATATGGTGTTTGTGTAATGATGCATCCTGGACTGGAGAATCCATCTTGTTAGAGTTACTCCCTCTAGTTCTGTAAAGAATCCTTATGTGTATTTTGTTAGCCTGACAGGCTAGTGGGAGAATTAGTATCTAGAATTTCTTCCAGTATAAAGCCTTAGAGCCTTTTGCTAACTCTGCCAAAGGATCACAGGAAGTGATAACTATTGCAATCAGTAAGCTGATTAGCATGATGTAACTGACTGTGGCTGATCTTCCATGGTGGTTTGTCATGTCGTGTAAACCCAGCAATGTTTCTTCAGGGTGGCTTGTATTTCGTAAAAAGTCACCCTAGGAATTCATGGCATGTTGCAGGGCTCTTCATACCCATGGTGGCTTTTTTTTTTTTGGTCATCTAAACTTGGCAGGGCAACTTCATTGTAGATCGTTGGGGGTGGCTAGAGAGTCACCAGGCTTTCATTCTGGCTACTTCTCATGATCTTGCTAGCCATAATTTCTCATCTCCTCTTAGTGCTTTCTTGTCCTGACATCAGAGAAGACAGGGCAAAACAATTGTCCTAAATGAATGTCTACTGCTAGGAAAGGCCCTTTTTGTGAACTGATACAAGCAGGAGAGCCGAAAGCAGCTGCTGTCTGCATGAGAAAGGGAACTTTAGAATTCTTACCTTAAAAACCATTAAAAATAGAAATGCCAGGAAAGTACTAAAATGGAGGGTGACATTGATAGGGACATTGACAAGAGGGAGATAGCAGCATGCTGGGCTACATATTGGACAGGTAGTCTTGAACAAAACACCCTTTCCCCCCAAGTTTGTAAACATGTTACCATGTTCATAAAGGCTCTGAACATTAATTCTATTGGTGATCTGATGCAGGGTGTGTGTGGGGGGTAGTTTTTTTTTTAGAGCTGGTAACCCCAGCAGACCCATTGCAGAAAGGGTGCTGACTAAGGAAGTAAGAAGTTCTGCTACAACAGTGCCTGGGATCCATGTTGGAGCCAGGGGGAAACAAGCCCCAAAGTACTTGATTGTCTGTTACCTTAATGAGTTAACTACTAAACCATGATGGATTATTCTCAGGGTGACTTACAGTGACATGCAATTCCCCTCAGTATGTTAGAGACTTGATCTAATTGTTATCTTTCCTTCCCACTTTGGTCTGAATGCTACAAACTGAGCTCAGCCAGGTCGCATATTCATATGAGAGGAGAATGGGTATAGTGCTCTCCTGATCAAAGCCATGTTATCTCCTGCCCACTCTCAGCTATGAGAAAGGTTTTTTGGGCAGGATGTATGTGTCAATATGTCAAGGAAGTGGTTTTGGGTGATAACTTGCTGTAATTTGCTGATTTGTGAATCTCTTCAATCTTCCTTTTAGGATTTCTAGTTGAGCAGCTAAAATTTAAGAACCATGGAGCAATACCCTGATCTGCAAGAAGACCTGAGTCTTGAGGACACCAATGAGTCTCTTAACCAGCTCAAATTGGCTTCTCTAGATGATAAGAACTGGCCACCAGATGAAGTGCCCGTTTTTCCAAAGTCAGGTGAGTATTTTTTGGTTGTAATGAAAGCTCCAGTGCAGGTGTGGGGAGGAGACACAGACACCTATCTTTCAAAGGTATCCATGTCCAGCAGCAGTAATCTTAGACTCATTTTAAGATATTGCAGAAGAACTCACTTGCTCCCCTGAATCTTGGGATGTTGGTTTTGGGATGCTTTCTAACTAAATTGCATGTTGAGAGCTGGAACACTGCTGGCCGCATGTGCCAAAGAGATACCTGTCTAATGATGTGGTGTAGATGTCAGTCAGGGTGTTGTTTATATTAGTTGGTGAATTTGGAATTTTGTAGTGGAGAATTTAATTTCCTTGATTACTTTTCATTAATGGTGCAATCCAGTACCCTTCATGCTCACTGCACATAAACTTCCAGCTGAGACGCATATCTTGGACTGGGGATCTGGGAACTCTGGGTTCTAGTCCCCACTCAGCCATGGAGCTCATTAGGAGATTTTGGGCCACTCACAGACTCTGAGCCTAACCTGCCTCACAAGCTGCTTGTTGTGAGAATAAAACTGAGAAGAGGACCTTGTAATCCACCCTGGGTTCCTTGCAAAGGGAAGAAAGATGGAATATAAATGTAATGTAATAATAAGTATAAGTGCATCCCATGCGCAGAATAAGGCTGTGGTCTTGGCTGCCTTGGAACCTGTTTCATCTAGACAACCGAATTCAGCAATCTGCAAGAAGCACTGCAGAGTGGGAGGGAAGGCATTTCAGGCACCATCTGTGTGGGGTGTATGCCATCAGTCCCAACTCCCCTTCCTTCCTTTTCGCTGGCATGCTCCTTTTCTTCCTTTCTGAGGTTGGTTTCTGAACTCTGAGTGGTAGCTGGCATGGTTCTGTGTTGGCTTCTATGAATAATTCTATGTCCCTTCCAGTCAATTTCAGTAGGCCTTAGAATTGTGCCCTTGCAGTATTTCTGCATAGTTATGGCAGATTAAATGGGAAAATGTACTTGCACGGTTGTATTCACTACTGCCCTCGTCTGTTAATATCAAATAAATATATACTCTGATCCCATGCCCCACCTACTCTTTTCTTCATGCTTGTATGCCTGTCTTTAGCTGTTACATGATGTTTCTGTTGGCTACTTTTTTTCTTCTGTTTTCTGTGTAGATGACACCAAGGGCTCCCCTGATTCTGTCACTCACTTGCGGTGGGATGACCCATACTATGACATCGCTAGGCACCAGATTGTGGAAGTAGCAGGTAATGGTTTCTTTTCACTTTTTGGCTTCCAATACAAAGCATTTTAATATGGGTTAATGGCTTTAAAAAGAAAATATTTTGGTTGAACTGGTAGTGGCCGAACAATAACTTGATTCTTATAGTAGTTATTGGACATGCTTTTACATAGAAAACAATTATAATTTTGTAGAAATATCAAAAATCAGGTTTTCTGGGCTGTGACCCGGGGCATTAATTTTCCTATCCTTTTTCCAATTACATTTATTTGGTAGTTACTTGAAGCAGTTGCCCCATTCCAAACTTAAAAATTGCCTTTTAAACTTCTGATTTAGGTGTCATAATTGCATAATGAATACATGGTGAGTAGAATGATGGATTTGAATCAAGAAGACCAGAGTTGAAGCCCTGTCATGAACTCCCCAGGTGACTGTTCACCATCTCCCAGTCTATCATACCTCACACTGTTATGAGAATAAAATGGGTGGGTGGAAGAATATCATGTATCTCACCCAGAGTTTGAAGGAAAATGGGGAATAAAAATGGGATATAGCAAATAAAAATAACATGTGTATACCAGCAAGCAACTTTAACATTTTTAAGAAGGAGCAGTGTCAGATTCCCATTTCTAATTTGGAATTTGGCATTTAAGTGTGGTGGAGCATCCAATTTCAAGCTTCTCAAGTAATTCTAATGGGGATGAATTCCTCCAGGATAATATACAACCTCTGTTTGTTAGTCTGTGTATGGGATTACCTTCTTGATATGTCTAGATCAGTCATAGTAAACATAATTAATGCATTAATATGCCACATTCTTCTTAAGTCAGTGCATTGCTCAGATACATTTTGACCTGGGTTAGCAGAGGGTAGATAGAATTATTGCCATTAATAGCAAATGTGAAACAGTTTTATCCAGGATAAATGGAGTGCACTATAGTTTTGCTGTTAGTGGTTTAATTCTATGCAGATCATTGTTTTTGCTGTTTGGTATACATTGTGTTTAGTTGAACCCTGGTTTATAGAATAGTGGCAGTTATATTGTCGGTTTTTTTGAGTTTACTTACCAGGATGAGATTGTACAGCAACAGAAATCTTGACATCTTCTTAATTGCATCAGAAGAAAGTAGCCAGAATTCTACTTCACAAGTGTGAAGTTCACAAGTGCTGTGAGGTCACTGTAAGTAGACTAAACTAGACAACAACCATCTTCCCAAACACAAGAGGCTTTAGATCTATACACATTTCTCTAGACACTTACTTCTGGGTAGATGTGTATGGGGTTACACTGGGGATGTACTTGGCTTGTTTAACTCCATTTACAGAATATGATTTGTGAGGAAAAATGTTATATTCTTGAAATATTGAGAAAATGCAAATGTGAATTGGGCCTCATCATACAAAAGAAAGGAGGGGACCATCCAAAGATGCTGTAGAAAATATTCTCAAAAATTGTTTGATGCCTCTTGAGCTTTTTGGGCCTTCTACAAGGGTTGTTCCTTCCTTTCCAACCTATTGAGAGGAGAATAATGGTCCTTGCTTTCACTTTGGCAGGAGAACAGATTCCTTCAAAGCACTGGACCAGAAAAAGGCCCTTAGAAGAGAGCAATAAAATGAAATGGACTTTAAGTTGATTTTTCAACTGACTTTTGATGTTTTTCTTTTAAAAATAAACAATATCAGTTACAGTTATTCTTTGCTCAATGAAACTAACTCAAACTCATTTGGGAACTGCTGTTATAGCTGGCCAGGTTAGATTCTCCTAATTGTTCTGAGTTATAGGAAGTGCTTTATGTCTATGGGGTGGCATACAAAAGCATTAATTAATTAATTAATTAATGTGTCTGTACAAATCAGGATAGCTTTCCAGTTTGCCTGGCCAGGCTACAGAAACCATCCTTCTATGTAACATCTTGTAATAAGGAATCAAGCCACAATGAGAAACTGCAGTTGTGTAAACTTGCAAGGAAAGAGTGAGGCCTTGTGGTGTTTCACTGATAGTAAGACTACACAGTTGGCATGCCTGGCTTGTCCCATGTGGCTGCTTCATGCACATTCCTTCATTAGTAGTTATTTGTGAACTGCAGACAAACTTGGTTAACCACAGACTGGAATGTGGTATGTTAATGATTGTTGAGAGTATTCTTCTGAAACTGGTTACATGGATGAAAACTGGGAATTCTTTTAATATCTGTGTGCTGCTCTACCATGGGCTACTATGCCAGACTTTGCAGAAATAGCTTGGCTATTTTGTGCCTTACACACACTAGCAAGTACTTCCAGTCACTGTGGAACAGAAATGAAGGCTTAATTACATCTAGAATGCATAGGATAGATGGAAGATGAAAAATTAAAATGCATATGCCTTCCATGGATCTGCTATGGATAAACTGGCACATGCTATGGAATTATCTCTTGGTGGCTTTAATCATCTCTTTCCTCCTTGGTAGTAATATTTTGTTCTGGGTTTTAAAACAACTGAAGTATCTGGAGTTGCTCTGTGGAGTGCTTTGCTGTCTTAGGATAGTGGAAGGCATGATTCAGTCCTCTGGGACAAAATATCTCTAAATAGATTTTCTGTATAGTTTTGGTTTGCAGTGTGTGTGACCTGAGAAGTCTCCAGTGCGGAAGGAGCTCCTCTCTCTGAGCAGATATGGTAGGGATAGCTTTCTGTTCTCTGGGTTGATGAATGAATATTAAATAATTCCATCAAACAAAGATCTTCACTGTTCATTGACTAGCTGGATTCAAACAAAAGATACCCTCTGGTACGCATTGTATTTAATGTATCATAATAGCTCTATTGCTGACATCCTAGGATTACAGCCTCTTGACAGGACTCATGAATGTGCTTCATTGAACAATAGCCAATATTGCACATCTATATACTCTGGACATTAAAGAATGCTCCCTCCCTCCTATTGCTATCATTGTTATATTTTGTTCATGTTTAACTTGAAGTAGAATAGCAATATTTGACTGAGTAAATTAGGAAGGAAATCTAAAATAGAAAAAAGGATCCATGCCCTTTACATGACCTTTCTTTAATTCTTTCGAAAACATGACTTGCTTCACTCTGAACAAGTGAATTACGGACGTTTATATCCCTACCCTCTATTCTGTCACTTTCCTGCCTGGTAAATATATGCCTTAGGAAGCTTAAAAACTCTTCTCTGTAGGTCTCCCCTGCTATGAACATGGTTCTGCAAACTTCCAGTGCACAATACTAGTAGTGTACGTGTTATCTAGTGAATCAAAGAAGTCTTGTCAGAAAAGGGAGGAAAAAGAGTTTGAGTTTTATTCAGTGTTCGTGTAGTCACTCTCTTGCTTGCCCTCCCACACTTGTGTGGTCTAAAAATTATCTCCAGAGGGTCAAACCTAACCCCTTCTTGAACTGTGGGGTTCTGTCATATAGGAGTGCAGTGTGAGTAGGGGGCAAGGTCTTGTGCTGGTGGAAATCCTGGCTCCAAGGACAAGGTTTTGCATTTAGTTTCTTCTGTGTGTGCAGTATTGGATACAATCCTTTGAAGTATCGAGGTAGAATGCTAAATGTGGAGGCTTTTTATTTCTATTCCACAACATGCTGGTATGGGATAGGTGAGATTGCAGGTAGCTTTTAGTAATTGCCTGCTTTAGCTACATAAGTGTCCTTGTGCTGATGAGGTAAGACTAAGGCAGGGCAGTGTTGGTAGGTAGAATTAGTGTGATAGGGACTGAAAGGTATCTGGTACACTTTTCTTCTGGCTGGTGGATCAGCAAATCTATTCAATTTATAGTAAACTCTGTACTGAATCAGTTGCTAGTAAAGTGTGTAAAATCATAAAGTGCAAGTCCACATCACAATCACAGGATCATTCTTATAAGTCTCCAGTGAGATATATAAAAATTTGGAAAATTTTGAATTTGAACACAATAATTACAGTAGTGATTTTATTGGAGGGCAGACTGTTTTAGAATCATGGTGCTGTTTATAGGAAGCCTGTTTTCATTTTTGAAAAACCTTGCCATGTACTAATCCTAGTCCTGACAATTAAAGTAAACCTTTCCTTTAATTATGGACATTAATGACTTGTAAACTTCAAGGGTACAGTGATAATTCTGCATATTATTATTATTTGTAATTCAGTTAAATGATATGACTGCTTAGGAGAGTCTGATTAGATGCGTTCTGATAATATGCAGGCATCCATATCTGTAATGCATTGCAAAGCTGACTTTGTTTCTGTTCTCTTCATATGGCAATATGAGCATCTGCTACTGATTGGTAGTTTGCACAGTGAAATCAGGAGGCTTCTAAAATCATCTCACTAGATTAGCTGCTTCCTTGTTGAGCCTGGAGCTGTTTGCAAAGGAAGCAGCAACCTCATCTTTGGGAAAGCATTGATCAGTTCCTTAAGTTTGGTTTCAGAGATGACTGAATGGCATATCCTGTTTGCCCAAGTTACCATCCAGATAGCATGTTGTAGACCAGGGTTGGGCAGCTTGAGGTCTGCCAGGTATTTTGGCCTACAGACCTAAGAGAGCCCTTTGGCCAGAGTGGTAAAAAAGTGATGTGACTCCAGCTGATTTCCCATGTGCTTCTGCTGATGCCAGAAGGAATGTGGAATTGTTCACAAGCAGTCCCACTGGCATTGGCAGAAATGTGTAGGGGTCCACCAGCATTAACAGCATACTGTCTCCCCAGGCCCCATGTAAGGTCTGTAGAGGCAGCTCCTGGCAGAAAGAACTGGCCACCTGCTTCTTTGCAAGGTAGTGAGGCCAGTGACTGAATTCCACCTAGCATCACTGCAAAGGTGGTGGTGGGTGGGAACAAGCTGTTTACCTCACTTGTGAGGAGGTGAGACCAAGCAGACAGTTCTTCTTCTCACTGCCCCCCATCCAGACCCTGAATGGAATCTGAGGAAGCAGCATGCTGTGGTCTATGGGGGCTTCCCCTGCACTACTATTTATGTTTCTCCAGTTGCTTACAAGGAAATAGATTGCTTAAAATGGTTATAATCTGTGGGGCCTTTTAGTTTAAAGAAA